CCAATCACAGCACACCTCGCTTTTCAGAACGATGAGCTTTGTAAAAATCAACGCGTTTCAAAAAGGCGGGGCATAGAGGAGAAACAATAATGTATAGTATGTGGAAAACAATGTGTTTTTTTAACCTTAAACCACATAAACAAATTTCATTACACCAAATACACAAAATAATGTTCTTTTTAGCAACATCATATGACCCCTTTAAATATTGAGATCTAAATATTGAATACGGTCAAACAAACATCTCCGTCAGTGTGACATGAGTTCTGTCTGAGAGGTTCTTTCTCACACTGTCTCTAGTTCAAATCACTGAGGTGTCACTTGCAGATGAATCCTGTAGCCCCGCTGTGCCTTTCTGTGCATGAGTTTGAACTCTGAATGGCCTGCAGTCCATGCTGCACTCAGTTGTGTGTGTGTATGGATGGATTAAAGCTCATAAAGGGCTGTAGATCCCTCAGACTGCAGAGGCAGGAAGAGCCGGCATTATTGGTGTGTGTGAGGTCATCTCAGAGAGCACAGATGGAGTAAATGCTTCTGCTGTCTATTCTCTGAATCAGCTCGTATTCTGAGAATAATTTCTCAAGTTGTTTCTGTCAGTTTCAAGCTTTTCCTTTTCCTCAAACATCATCTCGTCGAGGGTTTTTCTCACACATTCTTTCACTCTCCTGTCTGTCCTGTTACTTATCTTCAGTCGATGAAGAGCCAGATAGTGAAAGTAGTTCAGTGATGTCTCCTGATAAAGCAGGGTCATCAATCATTACAGTGTTTGTGAGGCAGTGCTGTATTAATGTTTCTCAAATATTCTGGAAAGGTTTGTTCTAAACCCCTAACCTAAAGAATGAAAGTTCTACATTAATTAACGGACTGTTCTATTAGTCAAAGATATAAAGCAGCACAATTGTTTTCAACATGTTTCTTAAGCACCAAATCAGCTTATTAGAATAATTTCTGAAGAATCATGTGACACTGAAAGGCTGCTGAAAATTCATCATTGCCATCATTGGCATATTCAAACTGTTATTTTAAATTGAAATAATATTTCACAGTATGATAAATCGTTTTTGTAAACGTTTTACTTTAAGATTAAAGTATACTTTTAAATGCTTAATTTAAAATTTTTTAACTGTAAAAAATTTTAAACTTATAAATTCAAGATTCAAATTTCAAGTAGTCTAGCCGTGATGATGTTATTGTATTAATTGCATATTTAATTATTTAATTTTCTTTCCTGCATATTCTTAACCATTTAGCTCTATAATTAGTAAAAACCTTTTGGTGGAAAGTCATAGGATGAACGCATTACTTACTGGTTTATAATTTTTCACCCCATAGTTACACCTTGAAGTCTTTTTAAACTTCACCCGTTTTAGCCAACTATATAACTTAAATCAGCAGAATTTGAAACACAAATGTTCAAAGAACACACAAAAACATTGTGAATGAATATAAGATGAAGATTATCCAGTTTAAAGTGATTCTTTGAGATTGTGTGTATTGGTGATTTCATGTGTGTTGTCTTTCTTTCAGAGGTCATATACGTTGATTGTGGAGGCTTTGGACTTCAATAATGACTCGAGCACTGGCAGTGAGTATCTCTCTCTCTCTCTCTCTCACACACACACACACACACACACATACACACTTTATTCTGTATCTTTGAAGAGAGTACAGTCAGAAAGTGATAATGAGAGAGAGCGTGTGTAAAGGCAGCATGCAACTTGTGCGTGTTTGTGTGTATTTCTGTGCGTGTGTGTTGTGGATGGCTGGCAAACACTTCCTGTCACTAAACCGCTGCCTGCACCTGCTTGCATTCATCAGTCTTTTAAACACATTGTTACAAGCGTGAGACAAATTTACACACACGAAGCAGGGAGAAACTTGGATATTTGGGACATTAGTTTTGTGTAGAATGTAATATGTGTGTATAATCTATTTTTATTATTTATCTGATTCAAATCTAAATGAGCATGTGAGTGTGCGCCAAATCTAAACGGGAGTGTAAATATTGACTTGTACTTAACACCAACGTGTCAAGTAGCCTTTAGCACGGGTCCAGCTTCTGTAGTGTGGCATTCATTAAACACACACACACACACTTTAATAAATGCTGTTTAACTAGGGTTTAAAGACAATACAGCAGTAAATACATTCTTAGGCTGTTTTCAAACATTAATTCTCACACTACTTCAGCAGTATATATAATGTGTACTGTGCGTAATTAATGAACTGGGCATAAAATCGACTATAATTTTCCTTCCTAAATCATTTTGAAAATGTAAATATGTTTTATGTAAATATTTAAATGATATAGAATATATTTTTTATTTTATATACATACGCACAATAAATTGTGTAAATATTATATATATATATATATATATATATATATATATATATGTGTGTGTGTGTGTGTGTGTATTTATTTTACATTATATTTTATATATTATATTTGTGTATGTATGTTAGCAGAAATCAAAAACACAACACTTTTGGCTCTTGCACTATGGTGTGATGTTTCCAGCGTCATGTGGGTATCTGAAGGCTCGTCTCGCTCTCAGGTAAACAGCGAGGAGAGGTAACAGGGAGATCTCAGCTTTGGCAGCCTGGCACTGATGCTTGTCCTCCTGTATTTCTGAAGGACAGGTTTGGGTCAAGACAGTTCTCTTAAACCACGAGCCACACACATTTCACACACTCGTCTCACAATTTACAGCCCTTCGGCCAAATATCTCACCGCTGTGCTGGATTCTGGCCGGCACTGAATAAATTACTACAATATTTCTCTGCCCAGTAGTAAACAAAGTCTATAGTAAACTGCTCTTAAAGGGACAGTTCGCCCAAAAATCTGTCATTGTTTTTTGTTTACATGTCCTTTGAAACACAAAATGAGATATTAAGCAGAATGTCTGAGCTGCTCTATACATCAAACATCAAAAGGTAATGGTGATTTATGCTATCAAGCTCCAAAAAGGATTTAAATTTAGATCTATTTGTCAAGCTAAGCTATCATATGGCTTCAGAAGACTGGGAATGTAGGGTATGTTTCATGTAAGGAAACATTTGTGATACTTTTAGTGTGTTTTTGTCTATTTTGGTGGTATAAATTGTATTTTTGTTGTATACAATAGGCATTCATGTTTAATCGGCAACAAAATGTTCTTTTTGACAATAAAAAATCACAAAACAATGGAAAACATCATGGAAATTCATTCATCCCGTCTGCCAGCTAGTGTGTGTTACTGTTTGATACGGTGTGGGTTTGCGACAGTATTAGGGTGGATTTAATCTCTGTAATAGTGTTTATTCCCTCATTCACTCCCGCATGAAGAAACACGAGTGGAGGGGAGGAGAAATTATATCATTGGCAGAGGGTGCGATGATGTTCAGGGTGGCTGGAATGGCGTGATGATAGAGAACTGCTGAGATCACACAGATGGAGCTGATAGCAGTAACCATATCCCTCTTTCTGTCTTGTTTTCTTAGCCATCTGTAAGCAGGGCTGTAGCACCGAGCATGGCTCCTGTAAAATGCCTGGATATTGCAGGTAACACATAGCATTTATTATACGGATAATGGATTTAATGACTCTTTTCCAAAATTAAGTGAGCTGACTTCTGGCTAAATGGGCAGCTCCCTTCTAAGGTAGCATGCCAAAAAAAAATCCTAGAGTCTCATAAGTAAACTCAAATGAAACCCCAGTTTCTGCACTGGCCTACTATTAAGTGACTGATTTGGAACACTACGGTGACAACGTATAGAATCTCATAACTAGGGCTGCAAAATTAAAATGTTTAATTAAAAATTGTTTTTTTTTGATAACTGCACTTGTAGTTTAAAATGATTTTCTTTTCTTTAAAGAGCTTTTTTTCTAAAGAGGTTTTCTGTGCATTTTTGTAGTGCTGCCAAATTTGGCCACATTTTAAAATATATTATTAACCCTAAACATAACCCTATTATTTATTAATAATAATGAAAATAATAATAATTTTATTTTACATTAAAACTGTAAAAATACAATATACATTTTGGTCTTAATTTCTTTTTCATTTCTAACCTGAGGATGCATCATGATTTCTCCATATTTATTACACTACTGTTACACTACAGTTGGGATTGGTAAGTTTTTGGAATAAGTCTCTTATACTCACCAAGGCTGCATTTATTTGATCAAAAATGTCAGTGAAAAAAGGAATATTCCACATTAATGGAAGTACTGGAGGAAAACCATCATGAATAAAATTCTGATTGATTTGATTTTTCCAAAGAGGATAAAAAGTTGTTCAACAGATGCTTCTTGAGTGCGCGGTTTGTATGTTTCGCTCACGTTACTTATCAGCGAGTCGTCAAATTAAGCCAGGTATCATGTTGCAGTTCATACCGGCCAACTGGCAAGAAACTCAATTTTATTTACTCTCCAAAGCCAATTTTTGCTCACATTTGGCACTTGGTGAGGGTTGATTCTGGATCCTGCTTGTCCATATTTCTTCTGGATTCTGTCATCTGTCTTTCTTTGGACAGGAGATTTTTATGTGCAGTAAGAACTGAGAGATACACACGCAAACATACACTTACTAATCAAGCAGTCCGTGTCCTGGCCAAGCCTAAGAATGCAGTGTGCATTCATTTGATTTGGGCAGAATAATGCATCACATCGTGTGCAGGCTCAATCACATATGTGTGTTGGAATAGATCTGTTGGTTGGGTTGTTTTGGCATGATGTGTCTTCTGGGAATACTTTTAGTGTTTTTTGTCTATTTTGGTGGTATAAATTGTATCTGTAATAGTGTTTATTCCCTCATTCACTCCCGCATGAAGAAACACGAGTGGAGGGGAGGAGAAATTATATCATTGGCAGAGGGTGCGATGATGTTCAGGGTGGCTGGAATGGCGTGATGATAGAGAACTGCTGAGATCACACAGATGGAGCTGATAGCAGTAACCATATCCCTCTTTCTGTCTTGTTTTCTTAGCCATCTGTAAGCAGGGCTGTAGCACCGAGCATGGCTCCTGTAAAATGCCTGGATATTGCAGGTAACACATAGCATTTATTATACGGATAATGGATTTAATGACTCTTTTCCAAAATTAAGTGAGCTGACTTCTGGCTAAATGGGCAGCTCCCTTCTAAGGTAGCATGCCAAAAAAAAAATCCTAGAGTCTCATAAGTAAACTCAAATGAAACCCCAGTTTCTGCACTGGCCTACTATTAAGTGACTGATTTGGAACACTACGGTGACAACATATAGAATCTCATAACTAGGGCTGCAAAATTTAAATTTTTAATTTGTAAAAAAATTTTTTTTTGATAATTGCACTTGTAGTTTCAAATTATATATTTTTTCTTTTAAAGAGCTTTTTTTCTAAAGAGGTTTTCTGTGCAATTTTGTAGTGCTGCTAAATTTGGCCACATTTTTAAATATATTATTAACCCTAAACATAACCCTATTATTTATTAATAATAATGAAAATAATAAAAATTTAATTTAACAGTAAAACTGTAAAAATACAATATACATTTTTGTCTTAATTTCTTTTTCATTTCCGGATGCATCATGATTTCTCCATATTTATTACACTACTGTTACACTAAAGTTGGGATTGGTACGTTTTTGGAATAAGTCTCTTATACTCAACAAGGCTGCATTTATTTGATCAAAAATGTCAGTGAAAAAAGGAATATTCCACATTAATGGAAGTACTGGAGGTTGATTTGATTTTTCCAAAGAGGATAAAAAGTTGTTCAACAGATGCTTCTTGAGTGCGCGGTTTGTATGTTTCGCTCACGTTACTTATCAGCGAGTCGTCAAATTAAGCCATGTATCATGTTGCAGTTCATACTGGCCAACTGGCAAGTAACTCAATTTTATTTACTCTCCAAAGCCAATTTTTACTCCCATTTAGCACTTGGTGAGGGTTGATTCTGGATCCTGCTTGTCCATATTTCTCCTGGATTCTGTCATCTGTCTTTCTTTGGTCAGGAGATTTTTATGTGCCGTAAGAACTGAGAGATACACACGCAAACATACACTTACTAATCAAGCAGTGCGTGTCCTGGCCAAGCCTAAGAATGCAGTGTGCATTCATTTGATTTGGGCAGAATAATGCATCACATCGTGTGCAGGCTCAATCACATATGTGTGTTGGAATAGATCTGTTGGTTGGGTTGTTTTGGCATGATGTGTCTTCTGTCAAACACACCGCTCCAGGACGCAGTAATAGAGATATTTTTTTGTTCTTCTGTTTTCATTTTGTTCTGGTTTGCTTCGATTTTCGTCGATCCTTTTTCTTATGTTTTATTGGAAATAAAAGCTCACAGCCTCTTGCTTCACTCGTCTGTTTTTGTTGGTGGTCTCTGTTCGGTGTGAGAAAGGCCAAAGGGGCTTTCCCGTCCACTGACTGATCTGATAAAGAGCGATAGAGCGAAGAGAGGGAGGGACTGGAAGATTGAAAGGGAGAAAACCAAGACATGATCCTGCCTGACTGTCTGTGAACAATAAAAGACAATGTGATTTGATGCAACAAACCTCATATTGATTATTCTCTCTCTTGGTTCGCATTCAGTTGACCCTTTGTTAAACTCTGCCTGCTTGCCATTGCTCGGTCTGAGAAGCTTTACAGAATGTCCCATGATATCTGAATTGGGGAAAAGCACAGTTTTCAATAAAGCTTTGCAGACACAGAGGCCTTTCGTATAATTACATTAGAAAACTGTAAAAGTTTTTTATTTTATTTAATATTTATTTTTTTGTGGCAGATGCTAGTGAAATGTCAGTTTGTTGCTGCAACCGTACATCTGTGTTTCCACAGCGTTGTAAAATAAGTAAAAAAAGAAAAAAGGGAAATGGAAACCGCATTAATGGAGTAAACAAATATAAAATAAGAAAATTAGAAATAAATGGATAAATAAAGAATAGCAAAGTTATACTTTTAAATTTAGTCATAATGTACAGTCAGCGGGTCATATATTTATTTAGGCTATTTTATATAGTTATTTTAGTATTATTTATTTACTATTACAGTTTTTATCAATATTTTGAATTGGTTTTTATTTGTATATTTTCTTTTTTTGTTTTAAATTGAGGTATTTTTATAAAATTTTATTATATAAAATTTTTATAATTTTTTTTTAAAATAATTATATATTTCTATATTTTTTGTTTTCAGTTTATTTTGAGTAATTTTAGTACTTATGTAAGCTTAACTTGCCAAGGCAAAATTGTATTTTATTTTATTTTATTTTAATTTTCAATTAACAAAACCTATTATCAATAACACTGCCTGACATGAAGTGGCTATTAACTAAATAACTGGTTAAATAAATAGACATTAAATTTTGATTTGAATTGTAATTATTTTATTATGTGAGTGGGAAGAGACCGTGGAGTCATAAGATGACATGAAACAAGCAGAGGCATACAGTGCTGCTAGAATAGAAAGGGAGTTTGTCATTGTTTGGCAAATGTGTGGTACATGTGTTTTATTTTGTGGTAAAATGTCTGTATTTTGTGCATTCCTTCAGAAAATGCTGTTCTGTCTCAGTTTTGCTTTGATTGTGTGTGTGAGCACTACATTATAACATCTCTCTCTCTCTCTGGCTCTCTGCAGCAGATAACGCCTGTCTGTCTGAGCCGTGTCTGAACGGAGGCAGTTGTGTGGAGTCCAGTCAGGGCTTTGAGTGTCAGTGTGCGCCGGGCTGGACCGGGCCGTCCTGCAACATCAGTAAGCCATCTCTGCAATGTCTCAAACTGCTCAGATCTGCCTTTCGATTTTTCGTACCTCACACTGACTTTGAAGGAAAGAACTGAGCCATATATAGAAATCAGAATGTCACTCTTTGACTCGGGCCAGAAAGCAACCACCCAGAATAACCTAGCAATTGCATGTTATCACATAAAAAATTCAGGATATTTCCTTCACTGCTTTCTGGTATTGTGACAAAATCTTTTCTTTTTGGACTAAAGTACATACTTTTTTTACAAAGTCTTTTTAAGTTGAAATTTTGTTTTTCTCTGGAATTGTATTAGTTGTTTGGTGTGGAAGTCAAACACTCCACTGTATAACAGTTTCTAATTTTGGTTTATCTGGCAAAGAAATGTATATTGTTACTGTGGTCATCTCCTCAAGTACCCTCTTTTAAAATGTGGTTGTCTCAAATATCTATGTTACTTCCACTTGAGAAACTCACCTTTGATATACATCAAAAGTCTAATGATTTTTGGCAGATATGGACACCTCTCTGGTGCTACATTAACAACCTCTCTTGATCTTCTATTCTATGGTGCATATGCCTGACTGTATTCACTTTTCTACCTGATTGTATGCTTCTTATTGTTTTCCATTGTATAGCTGAGACTGTATCTGTATGTTTATGTGCATTAGAATAACAGACTAATAAAAATTCAAAAATTCAGGATATTTGTACCTTAATCTACAAAAAAGTAAAATATCCTTACCAGGGGTAGGTGATATTGTTTTTGTATGAACCTCAACATTTTGTTGGATTTATGCTTAAGAGAAAAAAAAACTTTTTGCCAATAGGGGACAAGAAGTAAATATCAAGATATATGCTATGAAAATACATCTTGCACAGTGTTGCTTTTAAAATAAATGAATCTTGTTTTAAGGATGTTTAGACATTTTTGCTTTTAAACAAGATCAACTTAGAAAATACTTATTAATAATGATTAAATAATAATTGTCAAAATATTCACTATTATTCCACTGTAAAATGAGTGTAAATTAAGAAAATATTTTAATATGAGTTAGTATTAAGAAATGTATATTAAGTATTAAATATCATTAACAACAAGTGTCAACATTATTAATAATAACAATTTATTAGTATTAGAATGAATTAATTCGAATTATGATAACAGTTTATTATTGTTGTTGTTATTTAAACAGTTCTTGTCATATGATGTTTAAATCGTTTTGAAAGAAGTCTCTTATGCTCATAGCTACATTTCTTTGATTTAAAACACAGTTAAAACAGAAATGTTGTGAAATTTTATTACCATATGAAATGACTGTTTTCTGTTTGAATAGATTTTAAAATGCAATTTATTCCTGTGATCAAAGCTAAATTTTCAGCATCATTACTCCAGTCTTCAGAGTCACACGATTTTTCAGAAATCATTCTGATATATTACTATAGCCCAGAATAACAAAGCAAGCGCATGCCAACACATTAAAAACCACTCTGAACACCTTAGCCAGGGCACAGCAACACCATTTGAACCATTTAAAATACGCCAGTATCACTGCAGTGACTTCTGCATAATCAAGGACCACTTGTGTTTCTTCAGCAAAAGTGAAAATCAAGTTTTATAGCTGTTTTCTTGCATAAACATTTGTTTCCCTTTGATTTGATACTTAACTGAAACAAAACTGAACTTCAGAAGTCTCTTAAACTATCATGCAAATTTCCTCTGTGTGTCCTCCTCTTCCTCAGATGAAGATGACTGCAGTCCGAACCCGTGCAATCACAGCGGCGTGTGCGTGGACCTGGCGGACGGTTTTAAATGCATCTGCCCTGCGCAGTGGACCGGCAAGACCTGTCTCATTGGTGTGTGTGTGTGTGTGCCTGTGCTCCCTCTCTTTCTTTGAGTCAGGGTGTGTTTGTTCTAAAATTCAATTTACCGTGGTAACCGAATCAGCCTTGGAAGAATTTAAGTACCAGACCACCATGAGACCCCCACCGCTGATACATACGAGAGCGCATTTACAGTCCATTAACACACACGCACAAATTCCTCCGGGACGTTTTGGTGCTTGCCTATCAGTCTGATTGTAATTTAGACTGCGCTCGTGCTGATTTCTTTTGTCATTTTTGGCTCAGATGCTAATGAATGCAAGGAAAGCCCGTGCGTCAATGCCCACTCCTGCCGGAATCTGATTGGCGGATACTTTTGCGAGTGCCTCACTGGTTGGACGGGCCAGAATTGCGACATCAGTAAGTATGGTGAAAAACCCCCCCCCCCCCCAGACCCGCTTTCTCCGTTTCGATCACCTCTATCCATTTCTGTTTAAAAATAGCAGAAGCTGAGTCATGTTTTGGAGAGTGAAAATAAAGACAGAGTGAGTTTGTAAAACGATCGGATTACCATAAACATTCTTGTCTCCTATTCATTGTTTTTTCTCTCTCTTTGTATACTTTGCTCACTCTGGTCCAGGCTGATTCGTGTACAGCTGGAATACATTAGGACATTGTCTGAGCCAGTTAGCTCTCAAAACACTGCGAGTAAAGTCCTAATCAGCTCTGACAATCCCGTGCTTGATTTGATCAAATGAAACATGTTGTAATGGACTTTAGGATATTAGTCCCTTGTACTGCAAGAAAGTAAAATATCCTCACTAGGGATGGGTGATATTGTCTTTGCATAAACCTCACAAAATTTTGTTTAAAGAAAAAACTATTTGTCAGTGGTCCTAGAAAATAAAATTCAAGATATAATCTATGAAAATATGTTGTATCATACACAGTTTTGCTTCTCGGGTAGATTTATTTTGTAGGTGTTTGGACATTTTTGCTCGAAAATGATACTTACTGAATGATACTACTTAAGTAATTAATAGTTATTAAATTATATTATTAATGATCATTAATTAATCATATTTATACACTTAATTATTTTAAAGTATAGCAAGTAAAAATTATATTATTATTATTATTATTATTATTTTGCTGTATAACAAGTAATGATTATTAAATTATAAAATATAAATAAAAGAAAAATATAAATAATTATTACATATATAGATGATTAATAGTTGTCAACACCATAGTATTATAAATAACAATAATAGTAATTGTTTTGTTGTTATTATTATTACTATTATTGTTACTGTTTACAATCATTTGTATTTATTATCTTACTCAGTATAAAATAATAATAATAATAACTTTTTATTTTACAATACAGTATTATTACTATTATGTATCACAAATAGGAATTAATAAAATGAAGTATTCCAAATTTAAATAATTAAAAGAAAAATATAATTATAAATTTAAATGCAGATAATTATTAAATAATGATTAATCATTATTGTCAATATCATAGTATTATTAATAATAATAATAATAGCACTTGTTATTATTACTATTACTATTAATGTTTACAATAATTATTATTTATTATCTTGATAATAATAATAATACAACTTTTTATTTTACAATGTATTCAATTGATAATAATAATAATAATAATGGTATTATTTTTTCATAATGATTAGTGTTCTGTGAATATAGTGTTTTGCCGCCCTGTCCTAATGTGTCTCTCCCTCTGTCTGTCTGTCTGTCAGGATCTGGTCGGTGGATATCGATGTGTGTGCGCAGCAGGCTTTGCAGGTGAACATTGTGAGCGAGACGTGGATGAGTGCGCCAGTCGACCCTGTCTCAACGGCGGACGCTGCCAGGACGCGCTCAATGCATTCCAGTGTTTGTGTCCACCTGCTTTCTCAGGTGTCACATGTCAGGTGAGCTCCAAAACCTTTTGTCTTAACCGTTTCTGCTGATTTTTTTATGTAGTCTTTGTAAACGTGCCTAAATAACTTTGTGAGCAGGTATAAGAGTCTGTGCTGTCGGTGTGATTTTGTCTTCAGCTGGACATAGACTACTGTGAGAGCGGCCCATGTCAGAATGGAGCACAGTGCTTTAGCTTGGCCTCAGATTACTACTGTAAATGTCCAGAAGATTACGAAGGCAAAAACTGCTCCCAACTTAAAGACCACTGCCTCGTCACACCATGTCAAGGTAGGTTACCCCGAGGATCCAGTATATATATATATATATATATATATATATAATTTATTTTTTAATGAATAATATTAAAATTATGTTTTTACTTCTTTGTTGCACTCTACATGTTGAGGTAGTTGGTTTACTGTCAATGAAAGATATCCGTTGGAAACCCATGTTAGCCCTAGAGTGAATACTAGAGGGGTCCTGAAGTCTCCAGCTTTATTGAGGGCTAATCAGCGCTCTCAGACTCCAGATCTTCAGCCTCATGTGCGGGTGGTAAGATTATCTGCTTGGGCACATTCGGAGGTTTTAATGGGTACTCCAAATAGAAGTTGAGTCTTTTTTAGTCAGCGTGGGCGTAAGACTATCCTCATCTCAAGGCCTCGGTGCGTTTGATGCCGTGCCATTGTGTACGCCGTAGCGTTAGTGATTGCTAACTCTAGTCTATTGGTCTCCCGGGCTGGTGCACCATGGTAACAGCTAAGATATCGTTACACGATACATATGCTAACCCGAAGTGAGCTTATACCGAGAGGGGAAAACCCACCATTAATCATGACGACTTGGCTAATTCTTAGCATGCCGCTGTCTGCTTTCATCATTGCTGTCAGTGTGAAGGAGAAATTTGGATGGAAACCCTGGAACTATTTTCACATTAAATATTCAGGCCTGTAAAAGTCATGTTAATTCATAATCTTAAAGTCCAACGACTTTTCATAGAAATTTCTATGGTGAATTTTTTTTCTAGTTAAATCATTCAAATTGCGCAAATGGCTTTAAAAACAATGGAAAGTCATTGTTCAGACGACTTTTTGCTTTTCAAATAAATTGACCTCGTTTTAGATTTTTTTTCTTCTCTAAAACAAGACTAAATAAAAAATACATATTATTAATTATGAAACTTTACTATTAGTGATTATTAATATATAATATAATTTTTTACTGTAATAAATAATAACAATAATATCCTGTTTTACGGTAAAATATTATTATTAATTACTGCAAGAATGATCATTATTTAAACAAGAATTAAGAAAATATTAAAATACTTATTAAATTAATTATTTAATAAATTATGAATACTTATTAAAACAATAATTATTATTAATGTTGACAATAGTTACATTTATTAAATCTGATCTTAATCAGATTAAGATTATAATATCAAATGTAATTATTGTCGCCATTAATAATATTAATTATATTATACTAATAATAACAGCATTATTGTTACTATTAATGCTGTGGCGAGATTCTCAGCTGGGAAATCTAGCTAGCTTCTAAACCAGCTTCTTTGTGGTTTCTAGCTGGTCTAAATGGCTCCCAGTTGGTGGACATGAGTTTGACCTATAGACTAGATTAAGGATTTTGATCAAAAGGACTCTTAATGACTCAGTCCTCATTTTGTTCCCCAGTGATTGACAGCTGCACGGTTGCCGTGGCGTCTAACAGCACTCCGGGCGGCATGCGGCTCATCTCCTCTAACGTTTGTGGTCCTCACGGCCGCTGTCGAAGTCACGCCGGAGGGCACTTCAGCTGCGAGTGTCAGGAAGGATTCACCGGCACATACTGCCATGAGAGTAAGCCAGATTCGTATCCCAGGGTTCTTTGCTGATATTCGATTCAACACATTCGCTCACAGACTTTTTAACGTTGTACCTCTCACTCTTTACTCTCAGACATCAATGACTGTGAAAGTAGTCCCTGTCGTAACGGCGGTACTTGCATTGATAAAATCAATGCGTACCAGTGTATCTGTGCTGATGGGTGGGAGGGACACAACTGTGAGAGCAGTGAGTACATTTCAGCCTTAAAAGTCAGAAATTTCAGAAATGTCTCTAATTATATTTAGCAGTAAAACATTGTTTGTTTCCAAAACAGACATTGACGACTGCAGTATGAACCCCTGTCGGGACAGAGGAGTGTGTCGTGATCTGGTCAATGACTTTTACTGCGAGTGTGAAAACGGCTGGAAGGGAAAGACTTGTCACTCACGTAAGCCCCGCCTCCTCATTTGCATATCAGCGCAGTTTGGCTAGATGATTTATAAAATCGTGTGTATTTATACAATCTTGAAAACCCTAGTGTCGTTTTATGAAAATAAAATTTCTTTTGTCAATAAATGTTTTTAAATATTTTAAATCGACTGGAAAGTCATTGTTCAGATGCCTTTTTGGCTTTGAACTGAATTCATCTTGTTTTAAGATTTAGATATGTTTGCTTTAAACAAGACTAAATAACAAAATACTTATTAAATTATATTAATAATGATTATTAATTAATATTAATACTCATGGTAATTATTACTGTATAGCAAGCAAGAATTCATAAATTCATTGCTGTTGTTATTTTACTGTTAAACAAGTAAGAATGAATGAAAATATTATTATTTTGATTTAACTAACAGAATTCTATATGTAAAAAAAATTATAAATAAAAAGAGGGATTTTGTCAACAAAACAGCTGTTGTCAAGTAGATCCAATATGTTTAACGTAAGAACTAAATACATTAAAAATCTAGCATGTTTTTTTTCACAAATAAGAATATTTAAATTGAATTCAATCTTTAAGAATGATAATAATAATATTTTTAATTTACATGAAAATATAATATCAGTACATAGTGATAAACAGCCATATTTATCTACATATATTTTTACGAAACCATTTGAATGCATGAAATAGCATGGGAAAATGTCCCTGAGCATTTTTAAGTGATGATACAAATGAATCATTGAATCAGAGTTTTGAATCAGTTCATTTAAACGGACAATTTGAACTGATTCACGGAAACTAATCTGACTTTCCGACTAGTTTAAATCAAACGCTATTATCTTGCAAGTCACGAGACAATTAAAGGATCGCAGAATTAGTCTAATAAATCGTTCAAGTATCAAGTAAATGATTTGAATATAGTCCATTTGTCTGACACTTGATTTCTTCTCGTTTATAGGCGAAAGCCAATGTGACGAGGCTACTTGTAACAACGGGGGCACGTGTTCTGACGAAGGCGACTCATTTAAGTGCATGTGTGCTCCTGGATGGGAAGGAGCTACCTGTAATATAGGTGAGCCGCTAACAACCTGACTGACCATTTTGGTGAACTAGCCTCTGAATCAGTTTTTAAAGCTTTTCCCCTTCACTCTACAGCAAAGAACAGCAGCTGCCTGCCGAACCCCTGCGAGAACGGAGCCACGTGTGTCGTGACAGGTGACAGCTTCACCTGTGTCTGCAAAGAAGGCTGGGAGGGGCTCACCTGCAGCCAGAGTACGGCAACACTTCCTGTTCCACTTCCTTACTACTTCCTGTCTTGACTCCTGTTTCCAACTATCACCTACTGCTGCTTAAGGTTCTCTTTCAAACTATATACTAATTGGATAGCACCTTAACGCTGAAGTGTGTCATTTCTACACCACGAGCGTCATCATTATAGTTGTCTTTGCATATTACACTGGGATAGAAGAAAGTATTTTAACACTGAAAGATTTACACACGTCATCTTTACCTTCAGATGCAGAACTCCAGGTTTTTCTAAATGAACACAGAAAGTGGCATGAATAGTTCACAGATTATTAGCAAACATAACTTTATTAGCAAACATGACTGATCTACTGGTTGATGTTGCATCGTGGATTATAGACAGTTGTACACGTGAACATGCTGATTTCACATGATTACAATAATCTTCAGATGATTGTTTCTGTGTGCGAATACCGTTAATAACAAAATGTTTGATGCTTCATTTACAGATTCCAATGATTGCAACCCACAACCATGGTGAGCTTCATTTGAATCAGTCATTTTGCTGTTTCTTTCAAAATTAAATTAATTTTTTTAAGCATACTGTGTAATTAAAGGAAGATCTTTTTCATTTATCTAACAATGTAATCATATAACAAATAATACATAGTGATAATCAGCTATATTTACCTTATATATTTTTACTAAACCATTTCATTATATGAAATACTGTGCTAATTAAGCTTCACGTGAATAGTAAGATTAATTTCAAATCAATAAATTATGTTGCTGCCTTCAAGTCATGAGGGGAGGATCACATTTATGAGATGCGCATACATAAAGAAAATATTTTTTTATTTTATGGCGCTGTTTAAGTCATGAACTTAATTCCGTTTTAATGAAAGAATCATGGCGGAGGCTAACTGGTATTGATCATAATTAAATTTGTATTGTAAGCATCAACTATAATTTCGTTTATACATATTTTGTATATTGTTAATTAAGAATTGCAATACGTTTTGCCAGAAAAAACAAATATAGTCTGTTAATGAATCGATCTCTGTGGGTGGACAATACAAAATATGTAAAGCATTAATTCATAAAATTTATATTTTAATTAAATTAATATTTTCATACAAATTTATATATTTTAAATATATATAAAAAATATTTAAATATATATATATATACTTATGTATATAAATGCTTGTAAGCTTGTTTTTATTTTTTGCATTACCAGTTAAAAAGCTTTCTGTGTTTGTCATCAATTTGAAATAAATGGGATTTGACCAAAAATGTACTGTATTTTACAACGTACTTGAGATGTCCAAACTCGTAGAAATTTCCCAGGAGGACTTGAAGGCAGCATGTGTGCTGGTGAACTCTGACCCCGTATCTCATCATGTGTGTAATGTGTGTGCAGCTATAACAGCGGGACGTGTGTGGACGGTGATAACTGGTACCGCTGTGAGTGTGCCAGTGGATTCGCAGGGCCCGACTGTCGCATCAGTGAGTGATTCATGCTTCATCAATGTTTTGTTAGGTTGTAGCTTAATGCATACAATGTAAATAGTCACATTAGCACAGAAGATGGTGATTTTAGAGTAATATTGTTCTTGTGTAAACATATATGTCTCACCCCACAGACATCAATGAGTGCCAGTCATCTCCCTGTGCGTTCGGTTCCACGTGTGTCGATGAAATTAACGGCTACCGCTGCCTGTGTCCACCCGGCAGAACCGGACCCAGATGTCAGGAAGGTACATGGTCCAGACTCCAATTCCCATTATTCATGCTTGCTGTTTAACTTCAGTATTATTAGTCATGCAGCTAATGATCATACAGAATTCAGGGGTTGTTCAAATCCCACTAAGCTTTAGTATTAAACCGTTGATACTTCAAATCATGCATCGATTAGGGGAACTTTTCTGTCCCCTTGAGAATAAATTTTTTTTCTTCTAGATTTAAAGGATATATAATAGTTTGTAAACTTCACTATCTATTCTAATATTTATTTTAGCTAATATAATATCTATTGTGTTAATATTATTGTGTAATTTATTATTTTTTTAATCATGATCTCAGACTAGGTTTGTTAGATGTTGCTACTAAAACCCTTAGTATTTTATTTACATTTTTTCTCATGCTAGATTTAAAGGATATATTATAGTAGCCTTTAAACTTTTGATTGTCTCTATTGTGTTAATATTATGGTGTTATTTTTTTTATTTGTATCTTTTTTTTCTAGATTTAAAGGATCTATTGTAGTAGCTTTTAAACTTTTATCTATTGTGTTAATATTATGGTGTAATTTATTAAAATTGTATCTATTGTGTTAATATTATGGTGTAATTTATTATTATTTAAAAAAAATCTTTCTTCTAGATTTAAAGGATGTATTATAATAACCTTTAAAAAAATTTACTTTAACTATTGTGTTAATATTTTTTATAATCATGACCTCAGAGTAGGTTTGGTTTTAATTATTTTTAAATAATTCAGTATTTTAAATAATTTTGGTGATACATTTACTAATTTTAATTCTGTAATCTATTTCTTTGTATTTTTCTTAATTAACAGTTACCACGCACTAGCTAACTTAATGTAATTAGCAAGATTTATGTTTGTTTTTTTTCTCAAACACATGGCAAACATCATTACAAATCACAAATTGAAAGGACAAGTGATAAAAGTTTTAACATAACTGAACCATAACTATAATTCAGTTTAATTTAGTGTAAAATAGTCAAAAGTGGCCCTAATTAAAGAATAAAACGTGTAAATGTAGTATGATTTTTTTTTAATGCCTAGTTTTTTCTCTCAGTCACCGGACGTCTGTGTGTGGTCGGAGGTGGGATTGCTGTAGATGGAGCAAAGTGGGCTGAAGACTGTAACACCTGTTACTGTCACAGGGGGATTGTCAGCTGCACTAAGGTATGTCAGCGAGAGCCTGTGTGTTGTAGCTGTTGTTAAATCGAGGACAGAAGTTAATAGTGATGCATTATCGTTTCTGAATTCGCTTCCTTCCTCTCTTCCACAGCTGTGGTGTGGCCCTAAACCTTGCCGGATGCTTGGTTCAGGACGAGGCGACTGTCCTCTGGGTCAGTTGTGTGTGCCGGTGCGAGACGAGCAGTGTTTCGTGAAGCCCTGCTCATCACAGGGCGAGTGCTGGTCTGCTCACCGGCCGGCCGTGAGGGCCCGCTGTCACCCCGAGAGCGACTGCACCAACATCACCTTCACCTTTAACAAGGACACCATGCCACAGGTGAGGCCACTGGGACTGATATTTAAAGTGTGGTGGTGGGGTTGGGTGATTAGGTTGCATGTATTGGATTAATGCATGCATTTTAAAATGTTTTCTGATGTGTTGCTCTAAGGGAGTGACGGTGGAGCAGGTGTGTCGTGAGCTGAGGCATCTGTATGTGGCAAAGAATGTTTCGGCTGAGTTTTCCATCTCTATGAGCTGTGAACTCTCTTCTGCCACCAATGAGATCCATGTGGCCATCGTAAGTCACATTCATGCAGTATTTCATTGGCTAGAAATAGCTTTTTGTGAGTGCAGTTTTAATATCCTTATTGCATTAAAGAACGACTATGTATAAACAACTGTGTATAAATAATATATTTATATTATTTTGTTTATAATTTTTTATTTACCTTATGCATTTAATTTATTTGTGTATAAAAAATATATTTGTATTATTTTTGTTTATATAATTATTTTTTATTTACATTATGTATTTTATTTATTGGTGTATAAATAATATATTTGTATTGTTTTTGTTTATATTATTATTTTTTATTTACATTATGTATTTTATTTATTTGTGTATAAATAATATATTTGTATTGTTTTTGTTTATATTATTTTTTATTTACATTATGTATGTATTTATTTGTGTATAAATAATATATTTGTATTGTTTTTGTTTGTTATTATTTATTTTTTTACATTATGTATTTTATTTATTTGTATTTTACTATCAAAGTAATTTTGCAGTTAATTTTGCTTTAATTTAATAATAGCTTACAAGCTTCAGTTGTAAAAAATATTTATGTCTTATTCACTTTTTAAGATGCATTTCAAAGGAAATAATGTGCATATTTTTTATTATATTATTTGATTTTATTATACATTATGTTGTTGTATTATATTTATTGTTATTATTTTAACACCCCATGCATTTTGTTTGCTTTAATTTAATAACAGCAGCTTCAGTCGTAAAAAGAAACTATAGAAAACAATTTAAGTCAGGATTATTTTTTGCATTTTGCATCGCATTTTAAAGGAAATATTGTGTTTTGTAGCATGTGACTGAGGATGGCATTCACGGCCGGGTTCCTGTCAAAGAGATCACAGAGAGCATCATCGATCTGGTGAGCAAACACAGCGCGAACAGCTCCATCATCGGCTCCATCGCTGAGGTCCGTGTGCAGCGCAGACAACCACAGAACCCCAACGGTGAGACACCACAGGAAGCACTTACACATTGGAGGAAGTAGCCGTAGGTCAAAATGATGGATGCTCTGATTGGAAATAAAGTAAAATTTTATGCAATTTCAGAGCAAATGCATAAATATTGAGATATACACTATCAATCAGAAGTTTGGAGTTAGTGAGGGGTTTCTTTTCATTAAAGAAATTAATACTTGTATTCAGCAAGGATGCATTAAATTGAAAATAAAGACATTTATAATGTTACAAAAGATTTCTATTTAAAAAAAAATGCTGTTCTGAACTTTCTATTCATCAAAGAATCCTGAATAATGATTTCTGCATAAATGTTAAGCAACACAACTGTTTTTAACATTGATAATAATAAGAAATGTTTGTTAAGCAGCAAATCAGCATATTAGAATGATTTCTGAAGGATCTTGTGACACTGAAGACTGGAGAAATGATGCTGCAAATTCAGCTTTGCATCACAGGAATAAATTACATTTTAAAATGGATTCAAATATGAAAACAGTCATTTAAATTGTAATAATATTTCACAATTTTACTGTTTCTCTGAAAAATATTAAGATTTTTTTTTGCATTTAATTTGAGCTACTCAGCTAATACACCACACTAATCAATTTAATAACATATATCAAATATAATAAAATGATAAATGCTTTTGCACAATGCTGGTATCTAATATTTTGCCGTCTTGTTTTTATTTTCATTGTTTTCTTCATTTAGTAGACTACTTGATGCCACTGCTGGTTTCCATAGTGACGGCGATCTGGGTTTTGGCATTGGCGTGGGTGTTCCTGTGGTGCGTGCGCCATCGACGCAAACAAAGCTCCAGCCCCACCACCATCAACCCCGCCACCCCCTACTCCACGGGAAACGCAGAAGACAACACGGTGAACAACGCCCGCGAGCAGCTCAACCACATCAAGAACCACATCGAGAAGAACGCGTCCAATGGCAGCCTGCCAGGAAAAGAGCTCCACTGCGACGACAAGAACAGCGTCAACGCCAAAATCAGGACGGGTTTCTCCGAATCCGCCAGACTAGCGCAGGAGGACTCCAACAAGCGTCTGCAGAAGGCGTGCTTTCCACGCCAGTCGGCCTACATGCTGGTGGACAGGGACGACAGGCTGAGCGCCAACGGCACAGACGTAAAAAATCCACACTGGACTAATAAACGAGACAACAGAGACCTGGAGTCACAGCACAGAGCTCCGGATTCACAGCAAAGAGATCTGGACGCACAACAAAGCTTGCACAAAATAGAGTATATCGTATAGCAGCCGATGCTCGGCATGGTAACAGTCGTTGCTACATGATGTCACAAAAGGTCAAGCGAAAGAAGACATCCTTTGGAATCAGAACGCTTATTGTTGACTGTCACGACAAAGAGCACTCTATCCACCCAAATTCTCATTACTGTACATGTGGGTTTTTCCCCCGTAATTCCCAGTTTTTCCAAAATTGAAATACTGCATTTTTATCCAATACAAAATACTGTAATACTAGGATTTTTATGCAAATCAGCATAAATTACAAGAAGCACAATAAATACCACGTAATTAAAAACACATATTTTTGTATTGCATAAAACTGAGAATTACAGGGGGATGTGCTTAACCTTTATAGTGCTAAACAGTATAGTCCTATAAATTCTTATTCGTTTCTTGTGATGAAATTAGATTTGGAAATGTTCTTGAGGGTTTTGTGAGTTTCATCCAATTGTTGAACTGAACTGCATATGCAGATTGTGTTCAATATTTATAACGTCAAACTTAATGCACCAGAAATAGCTTGTGAATCAATTCCAAAAATCAATGATTGCTGGTGTATCATGTGCTCGAAGATTGTATTTAACTCCCATTTATTGGGTTTTTGACTGGATTTAACAAGCTTGACTCACATGACCTGCCAGAACTAACGCTAACGCTTAATTTATGTTTGAATGTTTACTGGTTCCCGCCTCCTTCTTCCCGACCTATGGACTGTGTTACAACAGACTTGCCAACTTTGCAAATGGTTACCAAAAAATATATATATATTTCTAATGTTATTTTTCTAATTTTTTTCAAAAATTAGCCCAATTTTGCTGGAAAACGGCAGACTTGGCAAAAATGCCCTTAAAAGTGCCCACCTGAGTTGGAATTGGATCACTTGAACCAAATGGACAGCACCTGAGTTAAATATATGAGTGTCACAGCAAAGGGTCTGAATACTTAGGACCATGTGATATTTCAGTTTTTCTTTTTTAATAAATCTGCAAAAATGTCAACAATTCTATGTTTTTCTGTCAATATGGGGTGCTGTGTGTACATTAATGAGGAAAAAAAATGAACTTAAATGATTTTCGCAAATGGCTGCAATATAACAAAGAGTGAAACATTTAAGGGGGTCTGAATACTTTCCGTACCCACTGTAAATGCAGCCTATGATAAGGAGACTATGATAGCGGATTTAGAAAAGTCACTTGCGAAAAAAAGTTTGTTTAAATCAATATTTTTTTTTTGTATAGTGATGTTTTTCCAGTATTAATTTATATAAATCCATAAGCGAAGTTCAATTTATCTGAGTAAAATTGTATAAGATACTGTATTAGAGGGATTTTTTTTCAGTAAACATACATTCTCCAAGAAAGAGCTACATTTGTTGACTGGACCTTTATTTTTAAGAGTGTAGTAGAGCTGATCCTGTTATATGGTGCTGAGAGTCCAGCTCTCTCTGTGGACTGAAAGCACCACTGGGCTGTTTGTATGTATTTGATCTCACCCTACAGCGCAAACTGTTGACAAACCACTTGCTATTGCAGTGAATGAGGAATGTGGGTCAGGCACAAGAGAAAGCAACAGTCTGACCTGTTCAGACCCTCTGAAGATCAAAAACAAAGTGGCCAAAAGTCAAGATTCACAGATGTACTGCCAAGCACACACAAATTGCATTGCGTTTTTAGTACTCAAACATGCACATGCACATAGATCTCCACACCTGTAATCATTTCTGTGGTATTTGTGAGGCAGAATAGTTTGTTATTTTAATGCAAATGCAAAAATGAGGTAAGAGTTCCCAGAAGAGTACCCAGTCATGTTTGACTGACTACGATTCATTTGTTCCCGTCAAACGATCACTACCTCCCACCTGTGACGACATCATCAGTGCATCCTCTCTTACATCACGTACCAGAAGCTCCTGGAAAAAACAGGTGTGTCCAGCCAACACACACTCTCTTATCACGAATCAGATGCATCTGCAGTTACAGCTAAAACTGTTGGGTGTGTCAGAGCTGAGATACAGTTCAAACTGTCAAAACAAACAGGCTAGCCTGGACATTTAAAAATGGATTCAAATCCTGCCTGTTTCTAGGCTGTTGCTAGGGTGTTTCTATGCTGTTGCTGGGATGTTCTTAGCTATTGTTAGGGCATATCTTGGCTGTTGCTGGGGTGTTCACTGCAGTTGCTAGGATGTTTCTGCAGTGTTCTAGGAAGTAGTTAGGGTGTTTCTAGGCTGTTGCTAGGTTCTAAGCTTTACCTGGATGTTGCTAGGCTGTTGCTGGAATGTTCTAGGCTGTGGGGTTCTATACAGTTGCTAAGTTGTTGCTATGGTATTCTAGACGGTTGCTAGGACATTGCTAGGCTGTTGCTGCAGTGTTTGATGGAGTTGTTAGGGTGTTGCTAGGCTGTTGCTGGGGTGTTCTATGCAGTTGCTAGGGTGTTGCTAGGCTGTTGCTGGATTGTTCTATGCAGTTGCTGGGGTGATGCTAGGTTGTTGCTAGTACATCGCTAAGCTGCTGCTGTGGTAATCTTGAGAGTTGTTAGGGTGTTGCTAGGCTGTTGCTGGGCTATTCTGTAGACTGACAAAAAGGATGACATGACAGATCATTTTTTTTATTCAAATTTCGCACAGTTTGTCATTCTGATAATATTATTTGTAACAAAACATATTTGTTTAATTAGAAAAATGCTAAACTAAAGTATTTTCACTATAGTCTTAGGACCTTGTGTGGGTGTGTGTGTGTTTCGTAGTTTGCACACAGGTGAAGGTATATTATGCACATTTCCTGAGAGTGAGACAGAAGTAGAAAAAGAGTGTGTGAGAGGGGAAAGGTTTGTCAGTAATGGGTGTAAGTGATTGCTGTCATCAGTGAAATTGCCCCACGGCCTATCAAAGTAATGATGGAGAAGCTGCAGTACCAGGTGTTACACTCACAACACACCCTGTCAACACACAAACACACACTTGATTTCTCCATGGGGATATATAGCCAGAGGCTGCTGTCCTTCAAAAGTGGTAGTCAGTATGAAAATGGGGTAAATTAATAATATTGCAACATCACTGACCAACCACACACTCAAACACATGTAAGTGTATTTGCACACAAGAGTGGACGTTGAATATAGTCATGTGATATGTTGATGATGGTAGTCTTGTGTAGTGGAATAAAATCTGGCCACCAAAAATCGCTCACTTAGAAACACTTAGACTACTTGAGTAACAAGTAAAGCATCCAACCACGGTTTGGTTTATTCTTATATGCCTTATAATTTCATGATACCACAATAAAAACTGTAAAAGTATTTCTGACTCCTGAAATTTCCAGGTTTAATTTTCTTTTCTTTTCTTTTCTTTTATTTTATACTGGCATCTTATTCATTTATTTCATTTCTTAATCATTAATACTATTTTGTTCTATATGGAAGCCCATTTCCACCTCATTAGAAGAAAAACATGCTTTGGCAATCATAATCATGTTATGAGATATTATGAGATAATTAGTCTGAATTATGAGATAAAAAGTCATATTACAACATAAAAATAACATTATTAGGATTTTGACTTTTAATAAATAAAAGTATGACATAATACATCCTATATATCATAATATATAATAATATATCAGAATTTTAACTTTTTATCTCATAAATAATTACTTAGTTCTTATAATTGTTATTTTGCATTTTTATCTCATAATTATTACTTAGTATCTCATTATTTCACATTTGTATGTCATAATTATGATTTACCAAAGCATGTTTTTTTTTTCTTGTGTGGCAGAAATGGATTTCCAAAGTTGGTGTTAATGCTTTGGCAGTATTTTATGTATTGCAGTATTTTGAAATTGAAAATTGAATTGGTTGTCAATAGCAGGTGTAAACAAGACCTCTGTGTCTGCACATGCCCAGAGAGAACCGCTGCTGATTGGTGGATTAGAATGTGATGGGGACGTGAGGGTGCGGGGTGGTTTAGGCGTGTTACTGTAATACAAACTAGATCCTTTCCCACACTGACTACATGTGTATATGTGTGATAGCTGACTGCCTTATAGCCCTGAGCTTCAACCAATTAGCCAGTTTAATTTGTTATTGCCCTCTGTCATTCCTTCAAAACCTGCCTGCCATTTCTCTCTCTCTGTCTCCTCATGGCATGGGAAGACTGGAAACTATTTGAAGAGAGATGTAAATGAACGCAATAAAGCATCCCACTAACTTTTGGGAAATAAACAATCACCTTAATACCAGGAATGACTGACACATGTTTTCTGTAAAGTGACTTTGTAGTGAACTATTATGACTGTCCATTTCTATGAATCTGAGACATGAATGCAGGCTAAAAACTAAAAACGGAGACAGACACTCCCACACATTTATCGTCTTATAGTAATCTAGTAGGTATAGTTGTCATCTTAACACACACACACATACACACACTGTGGGGGAGCCAGGCACGCTCTTGGTGGGATTACTTGTGGAGTTGCAGTGTGTGTGAGGGCAAATTCTCATGGGAACTGCAGAGACGATGGCCTGTTTTAACAAATTCAGCGTGTTTACCACACAGGCTTATTAGAGAGTAAGCCTGGTGTCGTAATGAGTGGGAATGTTGTATTGTGAAGGATATTTCAGTCCCACTTCATACACAAAGCTCAGAGGATTGCATTTATAGAAGCGTTAAAGAAAAAGTTCACCCAGAAATGCAAACACTGCCATTATTTTCTCAAACTCGTTTTTTCATGGTACACAAAAGTTGAATTTGTGAAGGATCTTTACGCAGCATCAAATAACGACAGTTCTGGGAACATTCTGAGAACCAAAAACTAACGTTTTCCAAATGTTCCAGAAACCAAAAGTTGTCCATCAGCTGTTGTACCGAAAAGAGCTGCTTGAGCCTGCTTCTCTTCTATCAGGGAATGTTCTCAGATCTTTGGCGAACATTCTGAACAAATGTTCTTCCAGTAACATTAATAGAACGTTCATTCAAAGTTATCTGGTCTTTAATAATGTTGTTGAAACTTTAGCACAAAAACTGGTAAATGTATAGCCTACAGCATTCATGGAATTTTTTTTTCATCTCAGTTGGAAATTTGTCTAACAATTTCTGAATGGTACTTGTTTCAGAA